AGCAAATTTAAAGGGTAGGACCTTGTCCTATTCAGGCTGCCTCTTAAGCACCTCCTCCTTGATGAAGCTGTCTCACCAAACCTGTAACATCTTACAAACACAGTGTGCTCTTACTACAGCCCTACACAACCAGAACAGGAAGAAATGCGTGGCATTCACGGAAGTTTTCTGCCAGTCCGAACCTTATTCACTTGAAAAAGCGTTTAAAGACATTATAGATGAAATACAAAAAAGGATGTTGAGCTGTGAAAGAACTACTTCAAGATAGTCAAAGTTTTCTATAAAAATAACTGGAATTATGTTGTGGTAGTGCTTTTTCAGTGAGGACACTATCTCACATCTCCTAATGCACACTTGCTTATTCATAGGATCCCAAACCAGCAGATTGGGTGAGCACAAAACACTCAGCAGTTGGGGAGGGCTACAAGTCCAGGTTCAGTGTGCTTACAGCTGGGGTTGGTGACACGCCGGTGAGGTTCAGCACAGACCACGCTGCTGAGCTGAGCTTCTGCTGCCTTTGCTTCTCCCGGCTCTGATGGGTGGAAAAATCTTATTTCAGTGACCTGAAAAGTCTCATCAAGTCCTAGGTCATCTTGCTCTGCAGCTTTGGCCTCTCACTGTTCATGACTTCTCTGGAGCAGTTAAAAAATGTGCCTGGACTTACATTTTAACTGAGTGACTCATGTTGTAACAACTGTTGGGAGCGGCTAGAGGGACTCTGTGACTCAGTCAGGCTGATCATGGACAGGAAAAAGGTATAAAACATAGTGTGTCCCACTGAGAAACAAAAGCCATGATGGGACTTGGATAATCTTTTGACTTTGTCTCTTAAGAGAACAGATACAAAGGGGTTTCTAATTAGATTTAAAATATTTCAGTATGATGGCATATTTTTTTAATGATATTTTTTGAAAATATGTGAAGGCTCAGAGAAGATAGGGGAAGAAAATAAAAATTCAGCTTGCTATGCCAAAATCATCATAAACTGTTATAAAAATAGCCCATTTTGATTTTGGTCCATCTCATCATCTTCTGAGGCCTGGTACAAGTTGAAGATTTCTAAAAATAGTATTTTGTTGTTACTATTTCTAGTGAGACTTTTGCAGAACTCATCCTAATAAAGCTCTCATTCCGCCATTTGTCTAGCTAAATTTGTAATGTAGGAACAATCTGCTTTGGGAGACGGTTCATCCCTGGAGGAAGTGGGTATTGTAGTCAGTCAATGAGATTGCCCCTACTTACACCACAGATAAATGTGTTGCTTTGTCCCAACGTTTCTGCTTTGCAATAATTTCACATTTCAAATTATAAACCTCTGAAAATTGCAGATTATAATGAATGTGCTGACACAAATTCAACTGTTAGAGTAAATGGCATTGCTCTAATAATGAAATAAAAAATCCTACTTAATCCCATTCTTTC